TCCATGCAAAAGTTCAAAGGATATTAGTAAATCATCAGCCAGATCAACCCTAAAAATAGTCTACTGGCTGATTTGCGAAGCTAAGGTTAGCTAAGCTTGTTTCAAGGGAACGTCAATACATTGTCGGCAGACAATCGTGTATGACACTGTAAGAAAAAGTTGCACACTAGGAACGAGGGTTACAATCTTTTCGTTTTTGTTCAATAGCTGGTCCAAACTTGATCTTCTTTAACGAGAGGGCGAGAGGTTTGCCATCAGGGATAGTTCTGGGTCAGACTTCAAGGCCTTGTGTCACACTGGATGCTGATTTAACTGCTGCTAAACTTCATTATCAGATGGATTTGACGCCACAGACCATCAACAAAATAGAGGTACAAACATCACTGCAACCGCTTAGATATTCTTGAGATTCTCAGATCAATGTCAATATTAGCAACTGCGCACTTTTTCCTCCCTTAACGTAAAATTAACCCAAACTTTGGGGTTAGGGGAGGGGTAGGTGCGAAGTTGCTGACATTGATCCAAATTCACAGTACGGTGCTTATTTGTTCTTGATACACGCTACGTCTTCGCTTTGAATCAAACATTTTGCTTCTTCGTTGTGTTTTCGATTTCAGGTTTGGGGATGTGGTGGACAGGAATTGAAAGCAAAACAGCAAAAACAACAACAATGGGAACGAAAACAAGCAGAGAAACTTCAAAAGGTTTGAAAAAGCGGAGATTACTTTGAAAATATTTATCTGATAGCAGAGTTTCTCTGGAAATCCAGGTTCCAAGTAACTTTAGTTTGACGAAGAGAGGAGTTGTTTTAGATCAGGAATAGTGAACCGCCATAACTTTAGGGATACACACGGATCACAAAGGAGGTCTTTGATACGGGAATTAACGCATGCATGGTATCATTATAAGAAAGTAGGCCATGCGCAATTAAATCCGTGGGTTGTTCCATGAACTAAGAGTGACGCTTTTTTTCCTGCTACAGGTAAAGCGACCCGGGAGGTGGGATGAAAACCCAGACAGAGCGATTCTGGACATGGCCGGTGTCACTACAAACCACAGTCAACGATAAAACAGACTGCGCGCATCCGATATTTCATCGACATATCTCGGAAGACATCATTGTTATTCCATTAATGCTATTCAGGGTTACTCCCACGTGTGCAAAGAATTTTCGCAGGGAGGAATGCGATTTGAATATCACCGCGGAAATACAACCAAAAAAAAGCATCTTCGCCTCGAAAAGATTCCAACAGCAAAACAGGAAAAGCTCTTTTTGACACATCATTGAAATACTTGAAATATTGGGGGATAACTTGGTAGTATTCCGAGCCCATTTATCATATATCTCAGGAAGTGCGTTATCGACTAAGTGTGTGGTAAAATTATGAAGTGTGTTGATGTTCTGTTTTGAGGTCAACATAGCTGGATATTGTTTCAGTTCTCTTTTTGCCGTTTTTGTTGCATTCAAGGTAAAAACAAAGAATAACGGGACCAATATCCAGCCAATCTGATTGAACAAATTTGGTTTGGTCTTTTTTTCGTGTTCAAAGCGGATAGTCCCGAGCAGAAAAGGTTGGCCATCTTGTCCACACGGTAGCCAATCCTAAAAAAAACGGCTCGCTTCGTTGTATCGTCCAAAGATTAGTTTTGAATGTATCTTAGAATTTCTTATGATAATGTAGTCATCACATGATTAAATAAAAAAAAAAGAACCTTTTTTCATGATCGCACTATGGTATCCAAAGATTCATCACAAGTTCTAGAACTTTAGAATTTACTTCAGATAAACAAAAATTTATAATAGGAAATTTGTAAGGCGGTGATACATTTGCATATACATTTCAGGAGAGGCCAAGAATTCGAAATATTCCAAGTGTTATTGGGACGCTGCATGCATTTATCACTTAATAAATGACTGAAACATTTTACTTTGCCGTATTTTTTCGTATGCCTGCTTATTTCAAGTTTTAAAGAAAACGTATTGGGGAATATTTGTCGGAGCATGGTTGTCCACTTTGCACAACAGGTACACTTGTTTGTATGCATTACAGACCTATAATTGCCAGTTAGTCGAGATGGTTGACAAGCTGTCGAATTGGATTAAATAATCCAGGATCCACTGGTTTTGCCGTTTCATGCATTTTGATTGGTCGAAGCGTTTCCCAAAACGTTTCCTAAAGCGTTTCAGGTTTGTTTGTTTTTACTTTGAGTTCTTGTTTGGCCATATTTAGCTTGGTTCCGGGCTGACTGTCACTTAAGAAAACCTTGATTTTCGTCTTACTGTACTTAACCAAAAAGCTTTCCAGTTCTTTTTGTTACACTCATGCCAATCACTACTGGATTACTTTTCCTTCTCTTTGCTATTTTCCGTAGGTGCTGTCGAAAGTTCTGACTCTGAAACGAGTACAGAAAAGGATTTAAACTCGATTGTGCCACTGCCAGTAAAGCCAGACCCGATCTTAATACCAAGGAACTGCCGAAACCTGAGCCCAGCTCTAAGATGAACCACGGAAGCCAACAAATGTTAAACAGCAAGATAACACTGCTAAGAATCTGTGTTAAGTGTAGACGTGACTTCAAAAGTACCAAGCTCGTTGAAGGGTTTTTTCTTTCGTGAAACCAGAGATGAACAAAGACTTTTCCCAAAAAGTACACAATTATACACATGGGTATCAAATACATGGTGACGAAAATGGTAATTCGGTAAGATCGTGGTAGCCCCTTCAGCGGTAAGGTCTCCCAGCAGATATATTTCTCGTTCTCCAATTCGTGGTGTTCGTTGAAGTACAAACTCAATGCGAATAATGCCAGCGATACAATCCAAATGGCGGGAAGAATTAATTTCAGTTTTCGTTTTGTTAGCGTCGTTCGTCGCAGCACTGGTTTCACAATGGATAAGTATCGATCGAATGCCAGTACGCACATGGTGTAGATGGACACTGACGCACTAAACAGGGTCACTACGTTAAGTCTGCCGCACATTAGGCTTTTCTTGCTACTCCCCGCCATGAGAAACAAAATTTCTAAAACGATATGTATCATACCAGACGCACCAAGCGTCAGGTCGCTGATCGCCATGTTCACTATCAAAATAGATGTAAAGTTGTAAAGTTTCTTGTTTTGAACAACGACCGCGCACACGAATGAATTCCCCACGATGTTTGCGATAAAAATGACTGCATATCCGACGCAGAGGATTATTTCCCCTGTCACAGAAATTGCCATCTGAAGATGCAAGTTTCAGCAAATGCTTGTATAGTGGTAAACTTGAGAAATCCTTTCACTGACTTGGAACCTAGCTGGTGACTCGATTTAAATACAGCGTTCGGAACGTGTCAGTTTGACGTACATCCTTATTGTGCCCCAGCCTCATTCGCACAAAGCTAAACAAAGACAGGACAAGAACAATATTCCCATTAATATCGATGTGTTGTTTCTTTTTTTGCATAAATTTAATTTTTATACGTATCCCCATTCACAGAATCCAGTACGTAGTTCAATCAGTTTAAATTATTAATTATGTCGTTTTTACCACTTACGATGGCTGCAGCGAACTAATATTGCTCATGATATTGTTGATGTCGCAAAGTGCCAACTTAACGTAATTTTTGACCCCTCTTTAGATGGGAAATGAAAACACATAGAGAGCTAATACATTCTATGTGTTCTAGTTGCCTAAACATTGACTTTTTGGGTAAAGAAAAAGGAAAAAATAGCGCGAATAAGTCTGTTGAGTTCAAGGTTGGGTAAAAGCGATAGGTGATAAGCGCCTAAATGCCTAACTTAATAAGTGTCTTATTACCGACCTATTTTCAAAGCTCAGTAGGAATATATGATCGAGATAAATTCAAGGTTAAATCTGTTCGTTTAGTTAATCTGAAAAAATAAGTCGGAGAACGGAGAAACATTTATTATGCGTACGTCGCATACATATTTTGCCTTTGCGCATAATTATAAGGGCATTAATTCAAGTCTCTGCCAAATTTGCATGTTCACAGCCAAAAGTTACCTGGATAGGAAAGCTTGAAATTAAAAAACTTGCTGCTTATGAATCGCGAATATTCTCCAGTAAAGTTTACGGTGGTAAAGAGAAGTAACCAGTTCAACTTAATTGTCAGTGAAAGCAAATGGTTAATTACGCGTGCCTAAGGCAAAAGTAGGTACGTGAAGCGTGAAGTAATAAGGCCGGAAAACGTGATGCTTGTATTTAATCATCCATGCACGTCATGTGTTAACTTAGAGTAGACGTAACTAGTTCATCATTTCTACTATTTTGTGATTCCTAACAGATTTTCTGAGAGGCTTTGAACCTTTCGTTATAAATAGAGATAATTCTTCGGTGGAGAAAGATACGTCGTTTCAGAAGTGAGGTGCGCATATTTGTATTTCTGACTCCTCCGACAAGAGCTTTGCCCAGGCTCGGAAAACTGGCAGGTTTTGATGACTACTTGATTTAGAAAGAAATATTTCCAACATCCCATGAAATCTTGATTATCGGCAAGATTAGCTCTCGAACCACATCCGATAACGAACGTTCAGCTGACAAAACAAAAGATTCTTCTCTGATCTAAAACAACTAAATATCGATACACAGATCCTTCATTGACCCATTTTATGCAGCTGCGAGTTTTAAACTTTGTGAAAGTTAGTGCAATGGAAAACCGAAACACCGAATTTTTTTGGCCAAAAAACTGGAAAACCGATCTAAAAAATAGCCAAAACTCCCAATGCTCCTCCTCCTTTAGATAAATTTCAGTGCGGTTTTCCTACTCGTGTTCATGATATTGCCATTAACTCAAATAAAAACGTGTTTTTCATCATTCCTTCATCGCAAGTAATGCTTTAGCTTTGCCTTTTTGTTTGTTTGTTGGTCTGGTTTTCTTTTTTCTGTATCTTTTTCACGTTTTCAGGTGTTCGTATAGCGTATAAATTTTTCAGCGTAGGGTGAACCACCCTACCCTACCCCACCAGGAAGAGAAAGCGAAATCACGTGAAAGTCTGCGCGAGGCTGGTATCTAAAAGGTGCCAACAAAATGGAAGATGGCGGAAGGAGAAAGGCAGAATTTATTTTCCGATCGTGGACAGCGAAACTATAAATCAAATCCCCTACTCAATTCATTCAAGAAAAATGAAGCCTCAGAGAGAAGTTCTTTGTCAGAGAGCACTGAGGCACCAAAATCTTATGGGGCTACTCGGAATCCACTGCAACCGCAATGCGACGTGAAGTTGATAGGTCATGTTGTGGAACCTACCGACACATTGCAAGGACTTGCTATAAAATATGGGGTAACGGTGAGAATCAAGCTCAGAATTTTCTTTTACAGTAGATGCATTTTATAGGAAGGAAGGATCAAAAGAAATTGAAAGCATTACAATAATGCGGCCTAAACTCGATATGTTATCGAAGAACAATAGTCGCCATGCCGGTAACGCGTTTGCAGACCTACTGTGTTCGGTAATGCTCCTCCCATGTGATTCTCGAATTACTATGTTGTTTATGGCTTTTCTTTTTCGTTCTTGAATTTAGCTTTGCATTAGAGTATGAATATTGAAGCAAACTTACAAGAACTTTGTCATGTGCTGTCAGAATATTTTCCTTAGAATTTGGTTCACGATCACCGTGCAAAAGCGGAAGCTTACATTTACGTAATACTCCACGATTGTTGAAATGAAAGTGGTGACTGGAAATCTAAGCCACATGTGATATTTTTCGTACACATTGCTTACTTTTTCCGGCTGGACAGCTCACTTGTTTTAATTGATAGAACTTTCTCCTACCACTGCTCTGGATTGATCTTTTGTTTTCTTTCCTTTTTTTTTTGCTTTCGAATATTGACGTTGGATAATTTCTTTGCGTTTATTGCACAACACTTGCTATCCTCATTAGCTGTAATATAAAAGTTATGATACGGTATTGTGCAGAGCGGTCTGTACTGCCACTCCAGGAAGTGTACCAGTCGTTCAACTTAAGATCGTAATGCTCAGTACAACATCATCTCCTGAGATGAATGGAATCTGACAATTTCAAGCTAGTTTTGCTTAGTATCTCTAGGGTCTCATTTTTCCATTTCGGAATGGAACAGTAAACATGGCTTGTATTTCTTTCGTGTGAATTAAGACCTAAACTCTAGGCCTGTGAACTATGTGTTCATTCTTTGGCATCAGAATGAAAAATTTTATTATTGTTTTCCATACAAGATTGTTAGCAATTCCTGGATAGGAGAAGAGTGCTTTCTGATTAAGTGCCGTTAAACCTAAACCAAAGATATTACAAAAGCCAATCAGGAGAAAGGAAATTACCTTTATGAGCCAATGAGAACTGAAAGTAAAACGGACCAAATTGCCCAAAGTGCTGTAAGATGCAAGCGGCCAAATGGTGATTGGTTTTAGTTTTGCATCTGATTGTTTGAGAGAGTAGCATAAGTTTTTTGAGCAACCACTGGGTAAAGTAAAGGAAAAAAAATCCTGGATTATTTACAACACTCAATTGAAAATTACTCCAACCATGATAATGTCAAATGAAAATTGATTTTTTTTTTTGTGGACAAAAGTATTAGGTAAAGTAGTATGATTTATTAAATTTGTTAGAAAATACATTCCTTGAGGAAAGCTGTTTCATTTACTAATCAAACATTATAGTTACAGCGAACAAATTTTTTCCTCAATGAGGTAAGAAGTTGATATCCATATTATATCTTTTTTAGGTTGAACAGTTAAAAAGAGCAAACAAAATTTGGGCAAATGACAATATACACTTGTTTAAAATCCTAAAAATTCCAGTTAGGAAGGACTCAAAACACTACATAGAAGACTCTGAATTTTCTGAAGATGAATCAGGGACAGATGATAGTGGTATAAATGAAGACAGAGGCACAATCAATTCTGAAGCAAGAGTTGACAAAGGAAATAAAGGTGGTCACATGTGTGATGGATCTCTTGAGGAATCCAGAGAAACAGAAGGGGAGAGACAACAACAAAACACAGCTTCCAGTTTTCTGGAGCAACTTGATGCAAGGATAAAAAGCTCTAAAAAGGAATCTGAGAAACTTAGGTAAGGTCTAATAATGATGAGAGAAGGAAACTGAAATAATGGGTTGTACAACTCAAAAACAGCAATCATGATATCTCTATGTACTGTAGTCTTGCAACTAGTTGTAATCAAGCATAAGTAAAGTGCACTTGATCTATTTAAGAAACAGATGTTTTTATTTTGGCCTAACAAACTCCATTGTATGATGAAACCTACAAACCTCAAATGATGGTGTGGCATGCAGTACTGATTTGTATTTACTCATTTCTTTTAATTTAATGTGTGTAATTCATCAACAAATCTCTCCATGGAATTCAGAACAGAGCTAGTCAAGGTGTGAGACTTCACTTACCCACCAGTGCATAAGAACTAGGCCATGTGTATCTTAAACATTCTAGCTTTGTATCGATACCCAAAGGATTTCATAAAACCAACAGGACTGAAAAACAACATGAATAGTAACCATACTCCACCATCAATAGTAATAACTAACACTAAAAGATCTGAATGAAATTACAAACTAATTGGTCACCAAAACGGAAATGTCTGAAATGTTTATTGACTAAAAATACATTTTATACCTATTGATCAGAATAAAGAGCCATAAATTTACCAGTTAAATGAGTATCTCTGAGAACAAAACAGTATTATTTTTTTATTGATTCATTTTGAGAATTCAACATATGTCATTTACTCAATGAAACACTTTTTTGTGCACAGAACTGTTTCAGGACCTAAAGTTATTGCAGATTTAGAAAGAGCACATGCCAGCAGTCTCACATCTGAAGATGATTTGTTTCGACCACTTGAAGCTGGATCTTCAAGGCGACAAAGAGGACAAGTACTTGCATCTAAAAGGCATGTAAGAAAGGAGAAAACTGCTGTCCAGGATGCCGATGATCAGTTCTTTGAGCTTTGACATAGGATCTAAAACAGATATCATTTTAATTTTGCATTTTATGATTTGAATTGACCATCATACATACAAAGTCATGACTCCAGTTTTATTTAATTTGACAAGATACAAATATCTACAACAAACATTTGCATCTGTAAATTTATACTGTATAATTCAAATCAATGATAGGGAAAACAAAAATGTTTAAGCTGCAGATTCTTCAAAGGCTTGTTGGAAATGTGTCCATTCACAGCATACATAGCTATCCAGATACCAATCGTAGTCCTTTGAATGACAGATGTCTTTAACCCTTTACGCTCTAACATCAGTATGCATATTCTCCATACTGTTCTCTATACATTTCCTGATGTGCTGACAAGGAGAATTTGTTTAAAAATCAAGAGCTTTATAAGTTGGTGATCATTTCCTTGATTCTCATGACCTTAATGTTTGATTCTGGGGTGATATTGTAAAGAGAAATTAGAAGCTGGTCACTCTTTGGGGTTAAGTGGTCTTAGTTTCTCAGAAGCACAAATTGGTTTTTAATTGGAGCTAAAAGCAGCGAAACTTTGGCCCCAGAGGAAAGGGGGTAATTCAATTGAGATATTTCTTTTTTTTTTAGTCAGACTAATATGCTTTTAGTCACTAGTTCAATTTTGCATTGAACTAATCCCTCACCCTACTCATCTGCTGTTCACACAGTTGCCAGCATTTTCTCAGGCATCTTTACCAGAAATCAATAACAATCTGTCAGCTCAAACACACCTTTATCACTTGAACTCTCAGAAGTGATTAACACATAACTTCTCCCTCTTATATCCGTACATCATCCAGCAAATAAGTAATGAGAATACTCAAACTTATTAAGTAGAAGTAGTTTTCTTGATCCAACACCAAATTGTTGCAACTAAATTACAATGAAATGTGTAGCAGCCAGAAGCAAGAATTAACAAGCAGATCCTAGGATTTGAAGGGTTAATTGCATGAGATAGAGTGACAGGTATAGATTTAAAAAGAATTCATGTAGAGATTTTTACTCCTTAGTGAGGGTTCAGAGGAGATGAAAATTTTGAAATGACTGAAATTTACTTTGTCTGGCCAGGAAGTAATTTTATATTCAAACTCAGTCAGATTTTACCATAGTTGTAGAGCTAACAATGGAGACAGGAAACTTTGAGTTCCATTTATGTTATACATGAATGCTACTGGTAGGAAGGAAGTTTGTCATTGTCTTAGTGAATATTCCATCCCTTCAACCACAATTAATCTTGACTCTGTTTAACATGGAAAGTGAAACTGGATTCTTAGCTGCTAAACCATGTATAAAATGGAAAGAAAATTCAGTTCTATAAAAAGTTACGGTAATTGAATGTTAAGTAATTATTAGGAGTGGTTGTCACTTCCTGGAGAAACATTTTTAATATATTTTTTCATCATTAAGTCCATGAATTTTTCTTAGGGATTAATAATTGAAGTATTTTTATAGTGAAACAAATTAACAAGGCAAAATTGGTCTAATAGGATGATGTGAAATATTTAACAAGAATATTATGAACAGTTACAAAGCCAGGATGAAATACATAGTGAGTGAGATGTGACAAGCATTATACAAGCATTATTCAATACATTGAGCACTTACATTTCCTTAACGCACGGTATCTAGGTCAATTGTCTGTAAGTTTCTTTCTTTATCTCTAACAATATGATTCCCCAAGCAAACTCTAAAAGAAATCTATGGCAGACAGTAAGGAGAATTTTCATTAATGTATTGGGAGTGAATAGGGTTTAATCTGTTTGTGGGAAGAACTAAATTGTTGATTTGTATTTGTATGTCATAACTTAAACCAGAGTTTGATGGGTTAATGCTTTAACTCCTACAAGTGATTAGGATGTAACTTCTCCTATTATATATCTTGATCTAACACCAAATTCTTATAACTAATTTACCAGGAAATGTTTAGCAGCTAGGAGGGAGAATTAATAATCTGATCTTGGTAATTAAAAGGTTAACCGACTGTATCATACAGTGTTTTTCTACGATATTCACTTGTTGTTTGGTGGAACATTATCTGGGACACAGTGATAAAAGTTTTCCTCAGTTTTTTATCGGAATAAACTCTCCTACAGAGGTGCAACCAAAATAAAAAATGACTGTGGTGAGAAATGGTATACACCTCCAATTTTTCATTGTCTAGGCTTAATTATCATGTGACTGAATAAAACTCAACTAATTCCCGAGTTGAATAATTAGCGATTTTAATTTAAAACCCTCGGTTTGAAGCTGATTGTTTTAGGCACTGGGTTAAGGTTTATGGGGTGTGATTTTGTCTTAAGCATTAGTTAACACGATATTGGCGTATAAATCGATCTACTAAAATTGTATTTGCTTATCCAAACCAGTTGGGCTCAGAACATATTAAGAGTTCCTAAAGGTTTGTTGATAAGTTTTCCTGTGTGGACAAGAAAAAAAGGCCTGGAACGGGAACCGACCGTAGTTATCGTTTTTAAGCCCAAAGTAGTTTGAAAGAAGTAACCCGTTCCTGGTGTCCTTTTGGTAAAACCAGAGCGCGATTGTCAACGGCGCGGTAGTAGCGGCGGAGCGGAAAATCGAGGAGGCTTTGGGTTGAATCGGGCAATGAACAGCTTTTTCGCTCCGCTGCTATTAACGCGCTGTTTACCATCGCGATTCTCTTTACCGACTGAAAGCTTGGAAAAGGTTAGAAAGAATGAATTGAGAAACCATGCGAGGAGTGCATCAGATAAACGGAAAAAATTCATCTTGATTCAATATTCTAAGATGGAGAGGGAAAACTACCTATAATCCGTCTTGAATTGAAGGCGAAGTGAATTCGGAAACAAGCGAGTTAAAACAGGAAATAATTCAAGACTTCGTTAACCTCGGTGCAGTAAGGAGAAGTCATCAGCGGCATTTAACGAATGATAAACTTCTCTAAGGGAAACGTATAGTTAAATTATTTATTCTCGCATGTTTGCGAAATAAGCTTTCTCCGAGTGATACAGGATCATCGTGGGTGTCTTTGTGGAGTAACTCGACACCAACCTATATAATGGTATATAGCGCTAATTACGTGTTCATGAGAGAGATTTTCCTCAAATGACAAAAGATAATAATGACTGCCCATCTCTGTGGAATATATCATGGAACTAAATCGGAACTGTCAAAGGTTAAAAACTCACTCGGAAAAATTTGCAAAAAGGAAAAAATTCGATTTTCCAAAAGCATCTTATCATTTGCAAGATAAATTGCGCAGCACATTGCTTCAAAAACAAATTAAATTCTTCGAAGGAATACATCATAAAGCTATGAGCTTTTGCATATATGTATTCGGTCATATTTCAGTCATCTAAAACAATATTCGTTTCCAAAGATATTAATGTCTAACGATCAAACGGATCAATTGAAAAAAAAAACATTCATGGTGGTGCGCGGTTCGTAAATACCCACAAAAGTGAGCGGAAGAACCAATACGTCACTGAATCTGCATTACTTCAAGACGAATTTGTAATAACCACGGACAACGAGTAGATCTTCGAAAAAATGGTTCAAACAGACTACACTAAGAAGTGTTTGCTTTGACACCGACAAAAGCAATTTTTAATCGAAACAGAGCTGGCGATAATTAAGAGATGGAAGAGATATAATATTGACAAACCCGAGTCATAAAAACATAAAATCATCAAATGAAGGACGTTGGGGAAGTCCCAATAAAATAGTTGGTAACAGTATTCATGTATGTGCGTCAATGTTAGCATATTAAAAAGTCGAGACGCGCACTTTAGTGTTTTTATTCATTATACCTTAAGAAGTCGCCGCATTTATTCATGTCCTCTCATGATATTACTTAAAAACAGCTGTTTCAGTTATAAAATGCAAGCGACCGCTTGTGTTGTTTTATAAATTTAAAATTTATTTTTTAGTTTATGGTTTAAGGGCATGATACTATTTACTTTAAAAAAATACAATTTAATCTCTAAATGACGCTTAGTTCAGTTTAAAATCCTTTTGGGAGCTAAACACAAACGAAACTTTCAGATCAATATATGACTTAATTACCATACATCAAAAGGACTCACGCCAGGTGCTGATGTGTTTGGTGTATATTATCTGAGCCCCCCGGTATAAATTTACTTGTTTCTTCAGTCGATCGACCACCACACGTATTTTCTCGAACTCTGATCATTTGCCGATTTCTGAATCAGTTTCACGCGTGCGATTCTGACTCAAGTTTACATGTCCAATATTGCGGTCATGGGCAAAACGAGCTATTTAATGATGGCTGTCTTTGTTGGATGTTTGGCCGCAATTGTGTTTATTCAGAAGGAAAGAATAGATTTGAACTGTCTATGGAGTGTTTTGCTCCAAAAAGGTGACCAAGCTCGTAACGAAAAAACTGATCATCTACAGAGAACTGCTCCCTCAGAAAATGCTTGTAAAGGTCAGACAGATTCAAGCTTGCCAGATGTACCATGTGCTATTGATGATTCATCAAGAAATACTAAGGAAGTGAGATCAAAACAAAATAACGGAGAAAGCGAATGTTTCGCGCAAGATGGTGCCACAACCTCAATAAAAGAACAACAAATGGAAAATGGAAATAAACATTGCAAAGGGAAAAAAGCGAACGAAGAACAAAACAACGAGATTTTAACAGGTCATATGAAGAAATTAGGAGAACATGGCTCCATTATAATGCATGGAGAAGTCGAGGAGCTAAATTTTGTACCAAACGGAAAAGATTTTTACGAACATTTTTTACGTAAACGGAGACCTCTGATTATGCGCGGAGCAATAAAGAATTGGCCTGCCGTACAGAACTGGGCGAACGAAAGTTACCTCCGCGAAAAATATGGCGAAGTCGTGTTTGACGTTCAACTTACAAAAAAATACGAGGGAGAATTTCCAGCGAAGAAGACAATGAACCTTAACGAGTTCCTTACGATTTACAAAAGCAAGCAAGTTTATTTAGACTGTCCTTTTCCCCACAGTGATATGATTAAAGATATTTTCGTTCCGTATTGCTTGCAATGCGAAGAAGTGATGCCAACTATTGCTAGCACTCATTTACTTTTTAGCAGTGGAAATACAAGCTCTAGTTGCCATATGGATGGATATGAAAACCTTCTAAGTCTCATCGCTGGAAAGAAGGAAGTCTTAGTGGCTAGTCCGAAGTATGTAGAATATTTCTATCCTCGGAACCACACTACAGTGAACATTGAATCGCCCATTGATCCAGAGGCAGTGAATTTGGAGAAGTTTCCCAAACTGGCCCAAGTACCTTTTCATAAGGTAAGCTGTTTATATCTTCACTCATTTTAATTTTCATGATAATAATGTGCATGACGAAATTACGCGCTTCTGATTGGCTGAAAACGAGTGCCATCTCATGTAACACGAGTGCAAAGTTGTAACACGAGTACAAACTACTTTGCCTAAGGGCTCGTGCAATTTTGTTGTCCTTTCAAACTTTACACGTGTCTATTAACATCAAATTGCACTGGAAATCATGTTATTACCTTTACGAAAAAAGTTCTACACAAAACGTTTCCACAGCAATAATATTTTTTATTTCCACTTATTTTTTTATTTATTATTTTTCTTAATTCGTGTGTTTTCTTTCCTTTGTTCATATTTTGGTTTTCGTCATGGTTTTATGTAAATTGAAGATCTTTAGACGGAATTTTTGGTGTCAAGTTGTCTTTTAATCGTCATTAGGGATGTTAAGTCGAAATGAATGGGGAGCAGATGCCTTGAAAACCTCATCAGTAAAAAGCTTATGACATTAAAAAACACTTAACATTATTCCCCCTCCGATACTAGTTGGGATCCTTACGGTTTTTTGCACTGAAAATAAAAGGAACGGGTGATCGCAGATATTGATGAAATTCAAGACGAAATGCTAGATACAAAGAAAATAAACCTGTCTTCTTTCTTTTTACTTTTATTGTTAAGTCTGAAACGATTCCAAAATTAATTCAATGCGTTCAACGGAACGCATTCCTTGATCTGCTTATACCAGCTTATCACAAATTGCGCGAAAGACCAAAATTATGTAAAACGTCGCGCAATCCAAAATACAAGTAAAAGTCAAACCTTTGTTTTTAAGCAGCAACGCATTAAGCGGTTACCTGTATTAAGCAGTCGGTTGTCAAAGTCGCGTGTTTGTCTTCCCATAATTACGGCAATTTTCACCTCTGTTTAGCGGTCACTAGAAGCCCATTACTTCACCCTAAACTTAGTCCCAACGGTCTGTTTGTATTGTTCTCCACCTGTATAGAACGGTCACTTGAAGCTTAACTATTCAAATAAAATTGAGAAAAGGGTAATTTAATATTATCAACTGAGTTGATAACGTAACTTGGCAACCTGAATCTTATTTTATCCCCTAAAATATGAGTAAGTAGTATTTTTGAGCGAGTGTTTGTAAATTAACTTGTCAACATTGACAAAAGATGGCGTCTTTTTTTTTTAAATTTTTTTTTATAATACTCCTATTCTGTGAAACCTGTACAAGCCCGTCAACCTGTATCAAGCGGTCTCCTCGTCATTCCCCTTTGATGACCGCTTAAGGCAGGTTCGACGGTATTATCTTAAGTTTTGCGCCACGCCACAACATATTCCCAGGGTCTTGCCAGTGTAAGGATGTGTCTACCATGGCTGAGACCAAATCATGTAGCTCCCCCATCGTGGGATGGAAGGGGAAATAGTTTTCTTCTTCGTCTCTCTCTCTCATTTCATCGTTCTTCCGTCCAATAAATGTCTTCACTTTTGAAGTCAGACATTATGATAATTTTGACAGGAATGTGATGTAGAAAAAAAAAATTATATTAAAAAAAAAACCAGACAAAAATATTTCTCTACCCCCTACCATTAGAAAAATTCAGGCTTACTCTTATGTACCCCCTAGGGAGATTTGTAACGATTTGTAACGCCTGGAATATTTTGAAGCAGATGTATTCCGTGTTGGTCTGCCTTGTGTTTTAGAAACGATTACACGCGAGCAGAAGGTTTTTCCTCCAATGGGCTCGTTAGGCCTCAGTGAAACGTTGATGAGGAAGACAAAAGACTCGCATGCTAATTTCTAAAGCGATCTTCTTCGAAGAAAAAACGCTCCTAGGGTACTTCTTGTCTCTGGAAGGCGTAAGCAAATCAAGCCCGGGTGCTATCGTCTTTTTTGAGTCAGCTACTTGTTTAGACAGCAAAGTTTCCGTCGTATTCACGTTCGATTCAGAATTTTCTTTTACGAATTGTTAATGGAAGTTGTTTACATAGTCTCAATTCAGAAATGACCAAGATCTCGAGTGGTTTTCTTCGCGTGGTAACACGATTAACTGTCTGTGTTTTCCTCGTACAACAACATGTTTTCGCTGATGAAGATGAATTTTTAAAACATCAGCCGAAAAACGGTGAAAATGATGTTAGTAAAAGACAAACAGAATGCAAGAGAGATGGGATTGGCAAAACGGTGGACGACACTGATACGAAAGAAAATACATTTGCAGCTGTTAACGATGTGGAAAAATACGAAAAAGCAGACCTAATGCTTGACGATCAGTGTAAAAGTAAGGAACAAAAACAGTCAGGGGATGAAGTCACTAAAAGAGAAGCTGAGAAGCTTGTAGGTCATTTGAAAAAATTGGGAGACCATGGATCTCAAATTATTACTGGTAAAATAGAAGACATTGATTATATTCCAAATGGGAAGGATTTCTATACACATTTTATGCGGAAAAGAAGGCCACTTGTGATGCGAGGTGCTGCTTCAGACTGGTCTGCTGTGAAACATTGGGCAAATGAAACATACATGAGACAAAAATATGGCCATGTTGTATTTGATGTTGAGTTTACTAAACATTACGAGAGAATACATCCAATTAAGAAAACCATGAACATGAGTGAATATCTGGATATTTACAAAAATAAACAAGTTTATTTGGACTGCCCCTTTCCGCAATCTGACATGACTGCAGATATCATGGTTCCATACTGTCTACAGTGTGAGGAATTGATGTCTTCTATTACAAGCATTCATTTGTTGTATAGTAGTGGTAACACCAGTTCTAGTCTCCATCAAGATGGATATGAGAATCTTCTGACTCTAATTTCTGGAGTAAAGGAAGTTCTTATAGCAAATAGCACCTACGGAGAACACTTGTATGCCAATAATTATTCCACAGTGCCTGGTTTATCACCAGTGAACCCTGAGTCAGTAGATCTCAAAATGTTTCCATTAGTATCAGATGTAGTTTTTCATAAGGTGAGGAATGGGAATTTCTATAAGATGACTTGCATGTAGAAGCTGGTATTTTATGATCTAAATTGAATTTTGACCTTATTATAAAAGACTTCAAGTGACTCAAATATGTTTTTCCAACAACATACCTGTGGGCTCATGCTGAAAAGGTTTCTTATTTTAAAAAATAATCTCCTTGATGTCTTAGTGGCAGATGAAAATCAAAGAGAGTTGCATGGTTTTGCTCATTTTTTTTTCTAATTTGATTTCTTGGCACCTCCTTATGAATTTATTATGAATTTATTTATAATGATTTTGACTGCTAGAGGTGATGATCATATAACTTCTCCCTATAATATTCCTACATTATGAACCAAACAGGTTATGAGATTACTCCAACTTACAAACTTAGAAGGTGTCATCTTGATCTGACACCAAATCCTTTTCACTAATTTACAAGCAGTCAGAAGGAAGAATCAACAATCAGATCTTGGGAGTTAATGGGTAAATTAGCATAGATATTATAAGCTGTTGGGGTTTGCATTGTTGCCCATTTGCTTTTCTGGCTTTCAGTCTGACTATTATACACTTTATCACTTGGTTGGCTTTTGGTTTCTTTAAGCAGATCTTGAGATGCTGATACACTGTAAAGTTTGATCAGCTGTTGTACACTTTTTTGCTATTTTATTTTTTGATTCAGCACACATGAAACAAGACATTAAATAAGAGATACAACAAAATTTACCAAATTTCCTCCTAATTGATTCATGAATGAATGTCTATTTTTCTGTTTTAGATGACTGTATTTTTTAAAATTTCTCCATGCATCTTAGAAATTTCAAGAAAAATAAATGCAAAGAAAACCCAAACCTTCAATAGGCTTCTAGCATTAATTTTTCAGAGACTGGTAACTTGATGACTAAAAATGTTTTTTTTTTATTATCTTAGGTTGTTCTAAATGCTGGTGACATCCTGTACATTCCACAACACTGGTGGCATCATGTAAGATCATTTGAATGTCCAAACATTGCCATTTCTTTGTGGTTTCATCCATTTGCAGAAAAAGAAGAAGTTTCTCTTGATGAGGAAGAGGAGGTAAGACATCAAAATTAGTCTATGGATAAAAATAATTTCCTCATTTTATTAAACTTACTGTCAGGAATCATTTATGTGTTTCGTGATGATCTTGTAGAGATGTTTTTATTACAACTTCTGTTGAGTTTGTAGACCCAGCATTTATTTCAGGAGCTTGGCATAATTTTTCAAAATGTAATATATATATATATAATTTATGATTATAAATTTTGCATTTATTTTAGGATCTATGTTAAGCCTGTTTTTGTATTTGCAACATTCAGTAAGATCAGTTTGAAACTTCAGGTCTGATAACAAACTTAAGTAAAGCATCTATGATTAAACTTGAGTCTTAAGTTGACATTTCATGTGTACATTGTAAGTGTAGCATAGCAACCCCTTACCTGTTGATGTGACATATTTTTAAGCCTTACCAAAAATCTCAGTCATTTCATCATTTTTGAAAATCATCAACTTAAAGGTTAAATGGTATTTTAATTCTGTTTTGTATTTATTTTTTGTTGCATTCCAGTATATAGCTGGAAAACAAATGATAGTTTAGTCTGATAAGGGCAATGCTAAAGGGAACTTTTAATCACATGTGACCCTAATGATGGTTTCTGCTCAGATTTTTGAAACATTTCTTCACCGTCACTGTCATTATATATCTCTCTTCTAAACTATCCATACTGTGCATATCATTTTTTATTGATACTTTTCATTTTACTGGCTATTCTTACTTTCAGCAAAATGTGTTTGAAGACATGGTGTTGGCAACAAAAGCCTTTAACAAACTTGTGGAAACTTACCCAGAAACAATCAAATGTGAAGCACAAAACAAACCAATCACAAAGGCCTTCCATCCAAGCTCTGATTCTTGGGATACACCAAGAGAAATCCTTGCAGAGGAACAAGTCATTACTTTGGCCAGCGGATATAAAAGTAAGGAAGTTGTTTTTTTATATAATTCATTTATTTTTATATGATTCATTTCACTGAACTGAATTTGGATCTTTCAGTCTTATACTGTAACTTAAAACAGAATTATCTTCTTTTCATATATAAATGGATTGATATATGAATTTTATAAACCAGTTCAATTTTTACTTCATTTTATAATCAGGAGCTGAAACAAACTTAAGTAGTTTGAAAAGTAATTTTTTTTTTGAGCCATAATACATGTATACAAGACCTCATTATAATTTCAATTCTTAAACCATTTCTAAATAATTTGAAATAGACTGGTATTGAAATAAATGATTAAAAGTGAATTTATCATGATTATTTAAGTCGAGAAAGAATCTTTTAGTTTTTAATAAATTCAATACAGACTACAGGTGTAATTCAATACATGTGTAAATTCTATTTTCAGTGCCCAGAGTAGGGTTTGGTACAGCAGGTTTATTTAAAGACACCAAGGATTCTGTTCTAGTGGCTTTGACTTCAGGATACAGGTACTTGATTCAAAAGTGTTATTAGTAATTAGATATTAAAGAATTTAACCTTTTAACTCCCAGACAAATGTGTAATTCTCATTACTGTCAACCATACAGTTCATGCAATGTTGGTTCAGAGAATTTAGTATTGGATCATCTAATTATCCCGCAATTGATATTTTTGTTTACCCACATCAATATTCTGGATTCATTCCAACTGAAAGATCCATGTTCAGGCCAAACCAGGCATAGAGTTGTGTTGCTGAGCAAGACAGTTTACTTGCTTAGTACCTTTTTCCAAAATTGTGGCTGGGAATTGCTAAAAGATTAAACTCTCATCTTGGAGGAGTACATGTAGTCCCAGTTACTTAGTGATACTGAAACCAGGAATGAGTACTGGCAGTTATGGGCCACTGGCGACTTTAAGACTTGACTTCTACTCTCCAAGGTGTAAAAAGCACTTGAGGAAGTAAAGTTGGCTGCTCATGATTGCAATACTGAGCAACAATTCTAGCCTGGGCTTTAAAAAAGGGGTCTGATTGCCATTTAGTGAACCAAAGGGACTCTCCATATCCCACTCAGTATCTGATGTTTGTTTTCTTTATCAGAATGATTGATTCTGCCCAGGCGTATGATGAGGAACAGGTGGGAGAGGCTGTACAAGAAAGTGGGATACCAAGGGAGGAGGTTTTCATTGTCTCCAAAGTTCATCCACGTTTTCTTGGTTATGATGAAACCCTCAAGTCTGTGGAAGAGTCACTTACCAAGCTTAAGGTAATTAAGTGTCAGCTCTCAGCTCTTTTACTTTTCAGCCTGAAATTTTCTTGAGTAGAACAAAAAATAATGTCTAAGCCATGTGAGATCAATCAAAAGAAAAACATGGATGAATATTCTTCAGTTTCCGTATTGGAAAGGAGAATTTGTTTAACAATCAAGAGCTACTCTGGTTGGTGATCATTTCCCCTATACTCATGCCCTTATTGTTTGATTGTGGGATGATATTGTGGGGAGAAATTAGATGCTCGTCACTCTTAGGAGTTAAAGGGTTCATAGAAAAGGGTATTATTATGTATACAAACTTTCTTGCCACAGTCTTGTTGCAGTATGGCCTCAGTCAGTAAGGTTTTTGTTTGTACATATTTCTGCAGGTTGATTACATTGATCTCATGTTGATTCACTCAATGGACTGTGACGAGGGACCTGGTGCCCACTTGATTTGTCAACAAGGGGAGCCCAAGGGAACATGGGAAGACTCTTGGAAAGCGCTGGAATCACTTTTAAACAAAGGCAAGTTGGTTTATTTTCTATCACATCATGTAACGGTATGATCTATTTTTTATCGCTAGTAGAATGAACGTAAAGAATCTTAACTCCTTTCAATACAATTGTGAGCCTATAGAATTCAAACTAAAGGAAGTCGTTTGTGTTTCTTTGCAGGGAAAATCCGAAGTATTGGTGTCAGTAACTTCGAAGTTGACAACTTAAAGCGTTTACTTGAGATCTCAAAAGTTCAGCCATCAGTTGTACAGAATTCCTTTGATCCCTTCAACCAAGATCGCGTAACCCGAGAATTCTGTGAGAAAAATGGGATTCGATACATGGGTCATAGGTAATGAAGAATCAAAATCATGTACTGTGGCTTAACAAGAAGTGTAGCTTACTTTGTGAGCGTTAAATCGCAAGATCGTTGTTGTGTCACCCCCCCCTCCCACCCCCCAAAAAAAAGGGTTGTGAAGGAGACTACCGTAAATGAGAAGAGAAGGAAATATTACTTACAGACACACTCACTCAAAACAAACCGCAAACAATCAAGCAAACAAAGTAATATTTGTTAATGTTAGCTATGCAGGCCACATGGACTACATGTAATTAATCTTTACTCTCTACTCTTAGCTGCCAAAGATTTTGGGGTTATCCTAACTCTCAAACAGTCAGTTACGTGAGATTTTGTAAGTAGCTTTTGTTTTATCTTCAATCACAGCACGTTAGGTGATTCGTGGAAAAGAGAGGGCCTGCCTGTAAATCCAGTTCTATCTGACCAAGGTCTTCGGAAAATCGCCACTAAGTTCGATGCTTCCATTCCTCAGTTGGTTCTTAAGTGGTCTTTAGAGAAAGATGTTATTGTGATTCCCCGCTCGCGGAACCCGAACCATATTAAAACAAACCTTCAGTTTACTCACGTAATGCTCAACGAAGACGACCGAGAGTATCTCGAGAGTCTTGATGGTAAGATAATCGTGCCCGACGATGGTCCTCCCTTCGATTCCCGATCAAAGCCGAGTGTTTCCGATCAAGAGACGACGGAAGAGGAAAAGACCGCAGACGAAAGCGCTCGGAACGAAAGTGAAGACATCAGTGAGAAATTGGTTTTATTGGGAGAGGTTGATGCAAAAGATTCCACGCTGTATTTAAGTTCTGATGATCATTGGATTTACGCGTTCGACTCCGCCTCAGGCGAGGTGAAATGGAAATACGGAACTGCTGATGAAGGTGGATCAAAATGCGAGTTCAACTCTGATGGAACTGTCGTGTACTGCGGAACCGACGACAAATCACTTCGGGCGCTCAGCGCTGTCAACGGTAACCTTATTTGGAAGTTTTCGACAGAAGGGGCGGTTACTTCCTCGACCCGAGTTGGCGCAGACGGCAGTCTCTATTTCGGGTGTCTAGATGGCTATTTTTATGCCCTTAATCCAGACGGCTCCCTCAAATGGAAGACGGATTTAGCGGCCGAAATCTGGTCATCGCCTGCTCTTCTAGAAGGCGGCAAAGCTGTGTTCATCGGCTCCATGGCTGAAGACTGGGCAAACGTGTTCGCTCTTGACGGTGAAACCGGCGAAATCATTTGGAAGTATAAAACAGCTGAACCCGTTTTCTCCTCTCCTTCCGTTAACCATGATAACAAGACCGTATTTTTCTGTTCGTACGATGCAAACTGTTACGCGTTTAATACTGAGAATGGTCACGTGCTCTGGGTGTTTGAGGCCGACTCGGCGTTTCAGTCGTCACCTGTTGTCAGTAAACTGGACGGGACTCTCTTTGTTGGATCCACGGAGGGAAACATTTATGCACTGGATTCCGCTACTGGAAAACTCAAGTGGATTAGGGAAGGTTTGTTATCAATATTCTATTTTTCTCAAGTAGGGATTCAGAACATTTCGAATTTTCCAGTCTAATGGTTTGAAACAGTTGTGAAGTTAAACTTGTTAAGCGGTTACATTTTCTTTGGCGTGTGCCAAGCCTCGGAACAAATGAGTGAGTGAGAGAACATTGGTGTTTGTTTAGGAGGAGTGTCAAAGAAGAGTTACCTCTCTCTTCCAAGTTCATTTCCTTTAATTCTACGCTAAGTTCATACTTAAACTGAAGATCATCTACATGTGATGCATTTTCTTTTCCAGGTTCAAAGAAGGTTGTGAATGTAAAATACTTGCATTGTCGTGGCATTTTTACTTGCAGAATTTGACTTCAAAGTCTAGTCACAATGTCGTGACAAAGGCGTAACTTCTGTTTTATACTCTATTGCTGTGTTGGAAAATTTTATTCAAGATAAGAAAGAGGGCGTCTTTGCTACCATACACGAAAGGGATTCGCGACATAATATAATGAAATGAATATGGAAGCGATCTTCGCAGTAATGAACACTACTTAAGCAGTGGTGAAAATATCACTACTGCTTAAGTAGTGTTCATTACTGCGAAGATCACTTCCACATTCATTTCTTTATCCGCAGGTCACATATATGATTTTCATATATTTACAGTCACTTTCAAAATAAATGCATTTTCATTCATCGACATATTTATTTGTTTATTGATTGAATCAGGAAAGGGTGAGCTATTCTCTTCGCCGTTTGTCGCTCCAAATGGAAATGTCTACATCGGCTCAGGTGAAGGTGAGATTTTAGCTCTTCGTCAGACTGATGGCTCACTCGTGTGGAGTTTAAAAACGGACTCCGCCATATGGTCGTCACCGCGCCTGGATAAGAATGGACTGTTGTTCATAGGAGGAATAGATACTTATTTGTATGCCCTGAGAGCTGATGACGGACAATTGGTGTGGAAATACAAGACAGATGGACCTGTTGTGGGCACCCCGCTGATCACACGTGAGCACGCTGTACCACAAGCCTGAAGTTTTCAACCCGTAAAACACAAAATGTCTCCATAGCCTATCAAACTAATGACAAAATTAAGGAAAGGATTCGACTTTGTGCATTTACTTTCTTGTTACAACTGATGCAGTGTAATTGGCTTTAGTGAACGTTGGCTGAAAGTTAAGCTCACAGAGTCACCTACGATGACATAGAATTTAAAACGCAGTAATATGCTTTAAATTATGCGTAAAAAGATAACGTCAATGAATCCTAAAAAGTGGAGAACCTTAATTTAAGATACTTAGAAGGACAGCAGCTCATATTTCACACGTCATAACTCAGATGTGGGGTGCCTGTGACTCAAGTTTCTGTGCTACTGAAACCAAGTGAATCTAGTTATTGGGTATCTTTTAAAATCTGTACTTACTAAAATTGTAGGCTCTTTTTTGTTTGTTGCTTTCCAAATAAAGGAAGATTCAGATTTCAATCCAAAGTATTTTAAAAAAGGATATTGGCTTCATGGAAAAAGTGATTAAAGTCATATTCATTCTTCTGAAAAGTAGCACACATGTGACATTAATGCTGCTCTCTCTTTCTGTCCTACTGAAATCAAGCTGTTGTACAGTAGATTTTGTCACTGGAATGGAAATTAGTGCAGTAATAAAGTCGCTCAATTCAGAAATATAGTTCATTGGCAGTATATTCTTCATAGTCCCCATTTTTAACTCTGTTGGCAACAACTGATCCCCTCTCCGATCCACCTGAGACCAAACATCCTCCATTCCCCCCCCCCCCCTTAAAATTATGACTGATCCTAAAACTACAAGTTCCTCAAGGTAGTCCAAATTTTCTGTCATCTGGATCTCAAATCATCTAAAAAAGCGATTGTTATCAATTACGAGTCCTCTGACGCAGTAAGAAAGCTTTTTAACCTTTTTTTGTTGAAAGACTTTTGTGAATATTGAAAATAGTAGGTGGCCTGTTCGCAAAGTTCAAGATGTTAGCAGTCTGTCTCTCTATCGCTTATGGATTCCCTTAATTCACGTCCTCAATTAAAATTATGCACCTTAGACCAAAAGAACATTTTCTCTCGCTAAACTGAGTGGTAACGCCCCAACAAAGAAATAAATGTAAATACTGTGGGCAATAATGAAAGATTGAAAGAGAAAAATAAGAATTGGACGGCGTAAATAAAGAAAGCGGCACTGACCATTAATTGAAATATCTGTTATGGCGTTGTGTAAAAATCGGCACATCGGTAGTCGTTAAAAGGGACCAAAATACTGAATTACTTATGATACACTTTATTGTTGAGTCTAAAAATATCTAAGGAAACCTGGGATTACAATAAAAAAATGGTTAATAAGGCGTAGTCACTAAAACAACAAAACAGGCAACAAACTTGTGTTTATCTGCCTTTAAGTGAAGCAATCTTTGGTACTCAACTGAAGAAAAAGTTGGTATAATCTATCTATTTGATACTTTTTATTCCATCGAGGGAACACCTATATTTATTAGGAAACCGGCAAGTCTCAAATCTCTCCCTCAGTTAGAGGTCCTAATTAAACGCTACGTTCGTTGCGTTTTAAAGACTAAAACCCTAAGTTTACGTTCAAAACAATTTGTTTATCGAAGAACCTTTTGACAACCCGTTTTTTTTTTTTTTTTTTTTTTTTTTTTTTTTTTAGTTAATGGTTCAACGCATGATAACCTTTTTGGTTTAATTCAATGCACTGGAAACACTGTCAACCGCGATCAGCTTTACTCCGCTTTGGGTTCAGTTAGCTATTGTTTCGAATCGATCACTTAATGACTGTAAGTTAACTCACGCGAAGAAGTTATCAGTGTATAGAGGTCTCTATTTGACGCGTACACAACCACATTCACAAAATTCTGGTAAAACATTCTTTAAACCTGTATGTTTGCAAAGCTTCCATCGCACGTTAGACACAAAAAAAAATTACTTAGGGTTTTGGTTTTGCTTTAAGGCTTTAAACACTTACGTAACGTTCGACTTTGTTATTGATTAATATTCATGTATCGCCCAATACTGCTACTCTACTTAATGTGAGAAATTAAAATGGAAGACGGTTTTGTTATCCTCTAACTTGTTTAACTTTCCATATCACACTTACAAAGAATATATAGTGAAAAGAGTCTCTAGACATGACAAGAGTTAAATTCTTAGTTCATCAGTCGAGCAATGTCAACATCGTGTGAGCCAGTCTGCACCAACCTGGGAATCCATCCTTTTCTCCAACAGCACTGATCTTACGCTCCATCGATGGAGACACATAATGCAGAGCGCGAGCAATGCTCATGGCTCTGTGGGACCACTCATGGGACAGAACATCAAAGTAACATGAGGTGTGAACATCGTTGACCAGAATAGTGCCGCTCAGGGTTACTGGGGCGTATGCACCTTTCTCGTAGACAGTGCTGATGCTCCGAACTAAATCCTTCTCTGAACCATGACTTCCCCTCACGTACACTGTGTCTCCGACCTTAACATCTCTAGCAGGGATGGCTGTTGCTTGGCCCGTTAATTCCACAAAAAGGAGATGGTCAGCGGTTATCAGGAGGATTTTCTCTTTTGTGGTGACAATTTTTAAAAATCCTTCCACAACTTCTGGCTGACGGTGAATGAAGGTGATAACTGGATCGGACTGGATGCCATTCTTTGTAATGACTAGGACTTCGTCACCAACTTGCAAAGATTCTATTCGCCTTGCTCGGAAGTTTGAATCATAGATAATGGCTGAGCCAGGATAACATCCACCTCCTTCATCTTTTTTGGCCACTTCTTTGGTTGATTTTCCTCCTTCTGGACTTTTAGCATCGTCTAATTGTGACTGTTTTTTCTCATCAGCCAGCTTTCTCGCTGCAGCGTCCAACTCCGCCAGTTTCTCGTCCTGTTCAGCGAAGCGTTTTTCCAAGGCACGTTTCTCTCCCTCACTTGTTTTTTCGTCTTCAAGTAGCTTTTTGATTTCTTCCTGGTCTTTACGAAGAGCTTCTGCCTGCTCCGTTATTCCTTGCTCGTCCATGGCTTTTTTTATTTCTTCTTCAAGCACTTGTTTGGACGCCTTGGTCAGGCGGTGTATTAAAGGCCCTCTCCGTATTAAAGGCATCCTCACCTCGTCAATAATCTAAGAAAAACAAATAAACTTAAGAGAAAAAAATCGAAGCACAAAGGGATTTAAGGGTGTTAATAGTTTTCTAAGTTGTGTAAACTCCAAGAAACTGTAAAACGCATTTGCTTTATTCTGCCATTTTCTTCAACGAATAAAGAAACAAATGACATCGAGGAAATCTGGCAACGTATTTAGAACATTTGACTGTCTGAAATTATACTTCATCAAACAAATTCGCGTGTGCCATGTCGAACTGACCACAACAATGATTATCTGCAATTACCGAAGGTAATCAATTACCTTTAAAAACAACATGCTGATATTTATTATTCAATTTCCTTCGACTGCTTACACAAGGGCGTATAGGTGTATTTGGTATCTCACTAGCGGAGCTCCAGGATTTGAATTTCGGTTTTGCGAAATTTCCACACTTAGGGAAATACTGCAACCTATAAGAATTTGGCAGTGACCTCTTAGGTTTAATGCCCTGAGTCAGATGAATATTTTTGGAGACTACGACATACAAAAGAAATCAAAGGAGGACAAAAATAAGGCTTTGAGAATTTAGTCTCTCGAAAGGAAATGTCTGACGAAGTGTCCAAAACTCAGGCTGTGAGTTTTTATGTTTCTCTTAACCCTTTATACACTATGGCACTGACAAGGAGAATTTGTTTGGTAATCAGGAGCCTCTTAAAATGGTGATCTTTTCCCTTATTCTCGTGACCTACACATTTGATTCAAGAAAGATACTGAGAGGAGATTTTAGAAGCCAGTCTCTCTTAGGAGTTAAAGGGATAAAAATGGCTAATCCTAAAACCAAATGAATTTGAGAAAAAAGGAAAGAAAAGAAAAGTGATAAAGTTAACCTGAAGAAGGGTTAACCATCAAAAGACTTTCAAAGTTCCACCTTAAAAATATATCACTTTCCTTGTGTAAATATCTTTTTTATCTTATTCAATGTCACACTCCTGTGACAGGTGCAAACCGCTTTCTTCGAACGATCACTATACAAGAAATTTTACTCATTTGATATGGCTTAGCTTTTGTCTATTTTATAGAGACAAGTTACACCATTACTAATCAACGAAAAGGCTAGTCACCTATGCAACTGCTGACCTACAACGACCAAATCTACAGATTTTGCTCTCAAAATGGACTTTTACCTGAAGTAACTTAGAGACCTGCCTCTTACAATCATCAGGATTTTCTGTAGGATCCAAACTGTTGTCGAACAGCATTCTCCTTTCTCCTATCTCCTTCATAAACTGTTGGACCCAATCTGGCAAGGTAGAGATGTACCATTTCAAATGGTCTTCAATGCTCCTCTTCTTTCTCTTTGCGTCGCGGGCAGCCTGGTCGCCATGTGTTAGAATTAAAATCATGTAAGGTTGGGCTTCAGTCCCCAAAAAATTTTTAAGTATTTTCAAAGTTTCGGCATCTTCGCGCCCAAATCTGCCACCGTACTTAATAGTAATGATAACAGCATCAAGACCGTCGGGGGACATGACAAAAACTTTGTAGAGTTCTCGAAGAATTTCCTGTTGTTTCTCATTGTAAAGACCAGTCACGTTCTTCATCACTTCTTTGGCTTTTTCCATTCGTGAGACTGGGGCCGTATCCATGATTCCCGGGGTGTCTATCACGGTCACCTCTCTTTCATCTGTTCTCTTTTCTGCTTTGCAAAATTGCGTCACAGACTTAGCATCTGGGCTGTCTTCGAAACATTCAAATCCAATGATTGAGTTTCCAGTGGCGCTTTTTCCGTTCCCAGTCTTTCCAAAAAGAACAACTGTCAGAGGCTCTCCTGAAGGCAGCTTTTAAAAAACATTAAACGATAAAAAGAACATTAGGAAGACAGAGAAAAGCTTTGCCCAGATCTCTGTCAAGCATGTACCGCTCCTGGATGGGATCTTAACAGAGGGATCCCTATTGGCATTGAATAGGGAGTAACAATTCTACCAATAAACAGCTGAGTTTAGGAAATTGTAAACCGAAGTTTTTTGGAGACAGGGTGTACCAAATCTACTGCTGCTAAGAAATCTAATCTAATTTTCAAATGTGTTAAAAAGGACAAATATCTGTGCGCATAACCCAAGTGGTCTGTTTAAGTCTGGAAATTCACTCTCATTGAATACTTGGGTTTTCAAATAATATGATTGAAGCCATAATGCGAATGTATAACTTGTACTCTTTGAAAATATTTTGAAATTTTGTCGCGAAAATTATTTCAAATAGGTTTTAAAAAATTTGGATGACATTTCAAACACTTCAAATACTGATTCTTTTCTACCTCTTCTTCTCCTGTCACCTTTTACCGCCCCTAAGATTGCATGATCCACCCTCTCAAAACCACTAATCGGTTAACTGAATCGATTTTGTGAGACCGTAATTGTAGCTTCTATAGTTTTTACGACGATTCTCACCTTGATTGTAGCAACTGGTTCCTGTGAAAGAAATCACATTGAATAAAAATGAGTTGTAACCTCACCACGACCATCTCTTTACCAGTTAAGGCAAAAATACATTAAGAAAACATCCTCTATATGATTGGTCGGTTTAGCTAACCGCGCCCCACTGAACGACCCGTTAGAATTCAAATAGAAGTAAATATAGTTAAGAATACTACAGTTTCAAAACAATGGACATCAAAATTTTAAAGGTGACGAAAAAACCTACAAGATAAATTTTACACTCATAGGCGATGCAAATCAAAGCTGGAAAAAAGGAAACCAAACGTCCTGACCTCAGTCATTTTCCTATGATTTTGCAAATGAAAAGTGAACCATTTATTTATTCCATATGACATAGCCCGAAGCCTTCTCACTCCCTTTTAAGGCCGTAAAAGGATATCTGATGTAGTGCTGGATTTTCAAGAGCTTTCATAACAAACTCATAGAAAGAAAGGAATACCAGACTTTAAACATCGCTCGCTCCGCACTTTTGCCTCTATCGCCATCGTTATTTTCATCAGCGTGGCCGCCTTCGTCGTCATTACAAATGATCACAATTATTTCAATCACGATCATCGTCATTTTCATCATAATCGTCATCGTCATCACCCCTGTCTTCACCGTCGCCTACTGGTGTCATAGTCGTCTTCGTCCTCGGCGACTTAGTTGTCATCATTAGTGTCATTATTTATCATCGTGCTCACCTTGTTTTTTAGTATCCTCCTCCATTCACGGGTAAATTTCCCCTGTATATCGCGTCCTCCAAGAGCCTTCGTGTATGCCTCCGTACATTCTTTGATTTTGTCAGGCCCATCCACGCTGTTTATTGTTTTAATTGCCCTTTTAAACTTGCGTTGAAGTTTGTTAACCTTACTGCAAAATTCTTCAACGTCGTCATCTTCTTTGTTTTCGAGGTATGCCATAGCGAGAGCTTGGGTGTTTCGAAGGTCATCAAAACAGCTCTCCAGATCCTCTATCTCACTGGCCTGCTGCTGTATGTGCACTTTTGCACTTGGAATAATGCTATTCACCGGTTGAAGCTCAAACTGCAAATAAGCAAAGAACTTTGTAACTACACCCCGAGTACACCACTTCATTTACTTTTATTAACAATCTCTTATGGTGCAATAGAATGCTCCACAAATGTTTTCCAAGAGACAAATTTGAGAATTTATATATTACTAAAATTGTCAAGAAGAAGCATATTATAAAAAAATGGATCAATATCAGTATCAGAGCAACTATGCACCTACCCCTCCCCTAACCCAACAACAGTCAACCAACAACAAGCTATGGCTAATGTTGGGTTAGGGGAGGGGTAGGTGCGCAGTTGTCATAAACCTCGATACTTGTGCTTCGCATTTATGAAACAAAAGTCGGGTGCACGTTGGTTTAGTGGCTTGTTGTCTTAGTCTGTCAAGACGTCATGGCTTCAACCAGCTATCGATTTTCTCAATATTCCTAAAGGTCCTTTTGTTTTTCGTTTCAGCTAATGGATGATCATATCTCCTTCTTAGGAACAGTCTATCGCCTTTATGATAAAAGACTGTTGAATAAGACGGTCTGGCAAAAGCTTATTCAAAACTAAGCTTTCGGTTTAATCTAAAATAATATCGACCAGGACTCTAAGGAAATTCATCCCCGCTCCCTTCCACGAGGTATCTCGTCGGAAAGGGATCGAATTTGTTGTTGTTTTTTTTTTCTGCAGAGATTTCATCGTGAACAAGACTGCCCTTGTGTGAAAAAGCTGGAGAGAGCCCTTCAATTCAAGCAGACAAACAATCGGCGGCGAAAGCTGGTCAAAGTGTGTTCCCTGAAATTTTTGCAGAACTACTTATAGTACGAGAATTTTCTTTAAAATTCATCTGGAAATTTCTGATGAGATTGACGTAAATATGTTATTTCGTCGGTCGCTACTCTTCACGAGGTGTCCTTTAGACATCTAACCGGAAAGGGATAGAATTTGATAATTTTTTTTTGCGGAGATGATATGCCGGGTTTCCAAACAAAGGCGCCAGTAGTAACGTCGATTAGTGGTAATAATTGTAGACTTATCCCACTCAATTGCATGGTTGGTTAGGCATGCGTGCTCCGACAAAGCTGGATTTTCTTTTTAGCAAAAGAAGACCGCTTTCTGATGCTCTTTCAAACGTGTTCGTTTGGCCTGTCCGATATATGTCGTGATCACAATCATTGCACGGAATAGAATAAATAGCCACGTAACAGGATCCTTAGGTTTGGCAAAAATAAACCCTAAAGTCTGAAAAGGTTTTTGAGGAACTTTAACGTTGTGGCTATTCAAAATTATCTTGATGGGTTCCGTAACACCTTGAATGTAAGGAATAACAGCACAACCAGTCGCTGGTTCCTTCTCATCAAGTTACTAACAAGGCCTTTTGTGGTTTGCAGATCATTAAAACAGCTGTCCAAGTTCTCTATTTCATATGCTGATGCCTGCTGTTGCAGGTAAACTTTCGCTGTTGGAAAAATGCTCTTTATGGGCACAAGTTCGAACTGGAAAGACAAAGGGTCTTGTTACACAAACCGTAAGTTGCAATTGACCGTTCAATAACTCGTTTGCATTTTATTCCTACGATAAAATTTTTGTTCAACTATACAACAAAAGATAATGCTCTGGCTACGCTATGTTAACCTCCTAACACCAAGACGATATTCATTCTATCACCACCTCAACGAACAAAACTTCAACCTTCGGTTCACCAAGTAAGTCGAAGTACATGGAAAAATTTCTTTTTCTCGACTAGCTAGGTAACATTGACGAGAACTCACAACCGACGCATAATGACCGAAGAATACTAGACGAAAAATAGGAAATGATAGGAACCTCAAAACAAGAGTGATTTAACAGAAATGAGCCACAAGAAACGTTGGTGGCAACAAAAAAAAATCACATTGCTGAACATCATCGACTAAAGCACGTGACATTATTAACTGAGAATCCGCAAAACCCTTAAACAACTGCACTTAGTTCTTTCAAAGACTGAGAGGGTTGTTTCACCAACAAAACCACAAACGAACTAAACACAACATAATGGTCGAAAGACAGATCGACAGATCGAAACTGACCAATCATAACTGACATAAGCTACTTAATCTTACAGCCAGTACCATAAAAGCGAAACTGACCAATGAGTTTACATGAACTGGACTTATAACCCTCTACTTAAAATAAGTCCTCGCTCGACTCTGATGATGACTTCAGCTAAGGTTATCGAAACGCCGATCACTGTTATCTTCCAAGAATACTCTCACCCAGAACGTCAGACTACATTATCGATAACATGTCGTCCAGGTTTTGTGAAAATAATATTTCAACAATGTAATAATAGGAAAAATAATTTTTTTGGCCTGATACTTTGATATTATTAACCAAGAAAAATAAATAAACGAGAGAAAAATGCGGAAAACATCTCGGATTTCATTATGTGTATTATGTAAATTTTCAGGAGAGAATCTTACACTTATTGGAATCCCTTTGCCATCATTTAAGTTCTTCAGTCTAGAAGGGAATTTCTCAATCAGTAATACCAGGTCCTCCATTGTGGTTGGCAGTTTGTCTGGTAAGTCTGTGGCGTAATATTTGATGGCGATATCTGATACATCGTTGCATTCTGCTGATAGCTTGTCTAATGAAGCTTTAAGCCCTGCATTGACGGCTCCAATGTTTAGTTGTCCTTCAGCACTTCCTTTGATTTGTTCCCTAGATATGAAAAATAAATTTTTGAGAATAACTCTTGCCTTTTTAGCTTGAGGAAAAACGGCTTACATGTAGATACAAATAATGCTAAATACGGATAAAGGATAAAACTGCCTACGTTAAGAAAAATAATTGACATAACTCCACCATGAAGAGGTTAAATTTGACCTCCTCAACTTATGTATAAGTTAAACGAAGGAGGTAAAACTGAACACGTCGCCGTTAAAAAATATGCGTTGCGGCACTTTCCTTATCTTTGCCAACTCATCGTTGAAAACCAGCGAATTATCAGTTATCCTTTTGTTAACTTTTTCATTGTAATGTCGTCGCAATCGGTGAAAAGCTAAAATTGACGTTCTTTTCCTACGAAAATGCTGGTGACATTCACTGGACACATTATCTTATACTAAAACACTGGACTTAACATTGACCATCTTGATTTATCATTGCGAAAAAGGATCACTTTCGACATTTCTATCCTAGCAGTATACGGGAAGTTTGTCACTTTGGACCTAGTTAAACGGCCTACTCCGCCAGGAGTCTCATATCGTTCAGTGGTAAAGCATCCGTTGAACTATTCGGAAGGTCGTACGTTCGACTGCTATTGGGAGCACTCGGAGTTCCTTTTTTCCAAGTATGCCTGCTTCTGTCTTTCACTGGATACATCATCTTTCACTAACATCGACATATTGAAAAGATGCTCATCATCGGGGAACATTTCTGAGACGAGATATTTTCATGATGAAAAACATGTTAGTCTGCAAGAAACTGCAAAATTCATAAACAGAATCCCTTTCTGTACGCGCCAAAACTGACGTTGCAAGAGGATAGGAGCTGTTAGAATTTTTCAATTTCTGCATTTTTAATACGCAGGCTAAGGACAAGATATGGAAAGTAGCCATAAATAGGAAGTCTGCTTGAAATAAATCAATAAAAATTGCTTCTATGAATCTATATGTAACATAACTGCGAGACATACTTGGTTGACTTGGATGAAGACTTAAATTTCAGGCTTGCTACCATCTCGACACCATACGTGACGCTCCTTACGTAGTGAGAACCAAGTGAGTCAAGAAATTCACCCTTAGCGAGATCTTCCCTTGGTTTCACTGATCCGCCGATTGTGTCAACAACCTTGGGAATGGATGTGTTGAACGTTGTTAGTTGTCGAGAAACTTTTGTTTAAATTAAATATTATAGCTGATCGAAAATAGGAGAACGGGGAAATGGAAAAAACAAACTAATGCACTCTGTCTGATTGGCTACTCAAACTCAGAATATCCTTTGCTATTCACTTCCGAGCAACTCGCGCGAGATTTGTGCCCAAAAATATTTTAATCGTTGCGGGAATAAATGAGTTTAAATTTACTCTTTGCGCTATATTAACTCACAGTTTTATTATATACTAAAACAACCATTCATCGCAGTGTCTGTGGCTAGCGGTGACTCTTTAATTCGCTGCTTGGCGGCTCGGTTTAACTCCAATCTCCCGCTAACTCGACAAAGATCTGATTTCCTTTGTATTTGACTGCACCTATCCAGTAATTTACTATCAGCTCCCTCGAAGTCCGTTAATTCGAACTCGCCATTAACTCGAACTAATTTTACTTTCCCTTGGCTAAAACTTATCCTAATAACTTGAGCTTTAAACAAAAACGCCGGTCGAAGATAAGAACGTGATAAAATTTATGAAAACGTGGTCAATTGAAATAAACTTCCTAAACAAAACGTTTTTTTATCAAAAAAGCTCTTATAAGTCCAAATTAAATGTACGAAAATAACTGTTGATTGTGTAAGAATGGTAAAAACATGATTCCTTACTAATTGTTAACAGGATAATTGAAATTCAACACCCACTTCGTTTCACTTGGAAGTTCGAGTCGGCGGGGTTCTACTATATTCCAAAACTCGGGAGCCCCTTTCGGAAATCATTTGCGTACGATTTCAATCTGTGACAATGGCGTCCGATGCTAAACGCTAGAGATACAGCGTAGCTAAGGCTTTAGAGATGATTTTTGACGATGGAAGTGAGCATGGAGGTATGTCTAGTGGTGAGGAATCCGAATTAGACAGAAAACTGGAAAATCCTAGCGAGGAATCGAAGAAAGTAATCTGTAAACGCGATATTTAAATGCGTGACGCATGTGGTGTTGAAACAGTGTAAAATTACATTTACTTTTACTTTTCGCGCATGAATCCTTGTTTTTTGCCTTGAGACAAACCTGTAAATGTATATTTGTGAATGGAAAGCGGTATATATTGTGATCAAACATGATGTTGAAGCGACAGAGTAAATAATGTTCAATGGAATTTTAGAACGCAACTGCCTAAATTATCAGCCGATCACAGATCGCATGACGCAGTGTGCGTCCGAACTAAATCAAATAAAATCTTTTATTTTTAAAACGATAGTTGTATATATATCAACCTGTACATTATCTTATATGTTTTGTATGTTTTTTAGATGTGGTTCTACTTGTTACATGCCGAAAATTCACAAAACAAACAAATTATGCTCAAAAATGAGTGGAATGATATAAAGTGACACTTTCGAATTTCACTTCTGAATTGTTTTACTCTTGAAAAATACTGGTGGTACATTGCAAGTGAAAGGCTTTTGATATATGTTGCACTTTATGCATTTTGAGGTTGATTATCTCATTTGCCCTTGTTTCAAGGCAAACTTTCAGAAGTCAAACAATGAAATATAGTTCCAATGGTTGCACTGTATACTTCAACATTTACAATGGGAAAGATGCTGCAAAAGGGATGAGTAAATTTGGGCTTGGGCATGATGTTAAGGTAAGACTTATAAGTCCGTACTTCGATCAGTGTTGACGGAATTACCACATCTCAGATTTGTTATTTTCCAACCAATTTTTATGGAGATGTTGCCCATATGACAAGGAACCTTTTTAGTCAATTTTTGCCTCATTACTTTAATTTGTTTGACAAATGCCGCCCTTTGTGATTCTTCAGCAAAAATACGTACCGTAGTACATTTCATCACAGCCAGAAGACTAGTTGTTCCCTCTTCTAACTTGCTCTCATTTATATACTGCCCTGCCCCTTCCACTTTCAGCAGATTGGCTTTGATTTTAAGTGATAATTCACCAGATACGTCCAGTAAGTCATTGACGTCTTTGCTGCTTTTAACCACTTGGTATTTGAAGGAAAACTTGTTGAAATTCATAGGCTTAATTGGTAAGTCACTGCTCGATGGGAAGACATCCGCGCATGCTCTCGAAGTTTCCAAGTCAAATGTCCGACCAAGGCACAAAGTGGGTGATGTATAAGCTGGGACGTTCATTTTCTCTTAAAGATAAGAAATGACAGAAATCAGGAAATGTAAAAAACCTTTTTTGTTTTGATGAACACACCTCTTCTACATATGTATCACGAACATTGCTTCTCTAATGAAAGAAACCCTATAAAGGGGTTACAAATATCCACCAAAGAATTTTAACTCTTTTATTTCAAAAATTTCGTTTTTCATGTACGTTTTGAAGTATTTTTCGAGCCACCCCCTAAGTCTAAGTCCGATTTTATACACCACCATAAACTTGACGTAGAACAGTCAGTTAAAACACAAAGAGGTAAGAAAGCCTGAACAAACCCTATGGCTTATATCAAGAGGTGCCCTCAATAACTCGTATAAATCAGCAATAACTCATGAATATCAAGTGCCGTGACTGATTCTGATTGTTCATTCAAGTTTGAATTGTTCGTTGGTTGATTATTTAAAAAAAAATGTTTAAAATTCAACTCAAAGAATTTGGAAGCGTGCTTATGGTTAAATTATATGCTCACAAATCAAATCCTGCACTGAAATCAACGGACATCGGCAAAACTGACAGATCACTAAATCGCTACGATTTAGTCTACGAAATTCCATAAGGTCACATTATTTGGCTGTAATTTCTGGCATTAAAATTGAAAAAAAAAAGACATCAACTTAATCCACTAATGACTGCGCGCCAAAACACACCAATAACAGAAAACCCACGCACTATAAATAGCGACATATAACCTTTCGACCTCGTCACCTGAGGAACTTTTAAATGATAGCAGTCGCAACGTCAACACAGTTGATGCTTGACTCTACATCGTGAGACAAACGATTTTAAAATGTCCATTTATTTGATGGAACCACAATGACCTACAACAGTTTCCCTAAGGCTAGAGTTCCGAGCAAAAAATCACGTTATCGCTGCCTTATTTAGATGGAAAAAGTTCGCAACTGAATTACGTGACTGAGTCACTGGTCACGGTGAATTTCGGTATGTGCTGTTATAGGTTACGTCAGGAGGGCTCCTGATTACGTGCCCGTTGCGCAAGTCAAAAAAAAATTAAGAGCTAAAAAGAGATGTTAGCGCACCGCCGGGAGCTCTTGCAATCAGACACCAACATAAATTTGTTCTTCATTTATTTTTTTCGACCTACCCGAAGACGTAATGCTGTTATCCCCGGTTACACTAAATAAAATCTTGTAATTTGGTTCTTAAGTTTTTATACAGGTTTCAATAGCTCAAGTTCTCTAAATCAAATATTAAAGAACAGAAACCAATTTTTTTCAAAAAGTTTCTCATTAACACGTTGACCGAAGGCTAATCATTATGATATTCGATATATTTTCATCGCCAGAAATCAAGGACATTTCGAGTCCGCTAACAATTATCAGCGGTATATCGTATTACACTCAGGAACAAAAGAATATCAAGAGAATTCAATATGCCGGCGATCACGGCTCGATCTGCAAAGAAGAGTATTTCGTATCATGACTTATACAATTTGAGCACAGCAGATCTTCTATTTGATGAAAATAGAAGATCAATGCCTGGCATATTTTTATTCCGAAAAGGACCGAGAACTAATTTATTTCCCTGCAAGAACATAAACAAATATGGCCGACGATTCGAAGATCAGCGTTACTCGTGTTTAACTATTTCAGTCATAGTTTTCAACATGGCGTCTCGTCACTTACTCAACATGGAAAATAAGGGATATTCTGGCGCGTTGGGAACTTTTTTGATGGGAGGAAATGGCAATTTTACAGGATATTTGGACGCTTCGAACTCTGTAGCAGTCAATTCGATCGAGAGCGGTTGACTTTATTGATGCACTTTCCTGTAATAGGCGAGTGTTTGGGATGGAGAACGACGGATTTTGAAGAACTGTATGGCGACCTAGGTCAATAATCAATGACAAAAGAACTAACTCGGGAAGTAAGTGGTTTTTATTTATCGAGTCCCTGTGAAGTTTGATGAATAGCAGAATCAGTACTGAATATGTCTCGATCGAGAGCAGACGGGACCATGAGCTCCTGATTGTTATATTTTAGAAATTTTACAAATTTCCATACAGTTTCTTATATTATTTGGAGGCCATTATGGACGAAATGCGCAAGCGCGGCCGCCATCTTGTCCAATATTTCTGCCGATGTTGTTCACCTTTCTCCTCACAAGACAGAATAGCCGTTTAAAATGTTTAGAGAATCAATCAGTTAGTTCTAAAAGCTCTGCCCTGCTATATTTCTTTTTGAAATGGCTAAAATCTAAGATTTTTCAAGCTACCAATAAAAACCAGGCGGCGTGCGCACTCCGATTACGTTACATTGTGGATTCATTTTCAATATGGCGATGAAAGCGACAGAATTCGGCATATTTTGACTGAACATTCAGTAAAAGTTAGGCTGCTCCTTTTTCCTTTCACCATAGGTACACGAAATTATTTAATCTGAATGTATAAAAGTATTTTTTGTACATATTTGTCACGTATTCTATGGTTCTCAAGGACAAACGCAATCACTGGTTTTTAGTATGTAATTTGAGACCGGATTTCAAATTTGATGTACGTCGTAGTTTGGAGCCTTTCAAAGATTTGGATGGCCACTTCGATCCTTTAACAGCACTGACCAAACGCTTTCAAACGCTCTCCAACGGTGCATGTGTTTCTCGCATTTTAAGTGCTGGTGTTGAGACCGATTATGGCCGAGAAAAGGCCTATTGTTGCGTTACACAGCGTTACTATCGTATACTCGATTGTGTTGTAAATCCACTTTCATAAGTAAAAGCAAATTAACTTATCGCGAGTGTTGTATGGTTAATCTACTATCTTGATCATTGAATGAAGGACAGTTGAATGTGAGCCATGAAAGGAGTCACTTGACCAATGAATAACTCTACACAACACACGGCAACACGCCGGGTAAGGCAGAAAGCAAAAGGCAAGCGATCGTTAAAAGGTGTTGATAGGCTTGTGTAACTCCTACCATTCGCTTGCGCTTTAAATCTTCTGACCTGAAAGCTCAACTATTATTAGGGTATCCTTTAATGACTTTCGTTCGCCATATGATATTAAGGGTTACTTTTAAGGTGTCATTTCCTTATCTGTATGTTCTTGAGGTTTGGCAAAGCCGGATGAGATTGTGTTACAAAAGGTAATATTTTCATGTGTGCGCGCTATTTTTTTGTTTTTGTTTTCAAGTATCAGTCTCTCCTGCAGAAAATAGTTCCAGAGATACGTTTCTCAAAACCCTATTCTAGGTATTCTTTAAGCATATTTGAAACTCTGTACGTTTTTTATTAAACGTTGAGCGTGACAAATTTGGTCTTAGGAGGCGTAAGGCTTCTCCTTTCGCGAATCCCGTGTTTCCGCCTTTAAGTGTACGACATGAAAAATAGTTCGTGTATTAGAAGTTCGCTGCCTCTTTGTAATGCGTTTGCATGTCAAGAGTCGATTCCCTGTTAAATAACTCGCGAATTTGATATTATTCACACAGCTATCAGCTGTGGGTGTAACTGCTACCAAGTGAATAGATTCTCGGGCATGGCTGCAGTTTCGATTCTTTCTGAATCTCTTAAGTCGCCTCCTAGCAACGAATTTGTCACGAAGGAATAACAGGAGTTGCACAGGCCCGCAAACACTTTTAAGCTTTCGAAGGAACGGCAAAAGACAGTGAATTCCCATCACATTCCACGTTTATTCAGGCTATCTTGCTGCCACCAGAGATGTTCACTCGACCGTGACAGGATGCAAATGACTCACTTTTCGTTTTACGACCATGATGCAACGCAATCAGAGTGCGCACACCGCCTCAATAAAAACGGTCGGAGTATGCTCAACAGACTAATTTGCATAATTCTGCTGTCACGCTAGCAAAATCACCAAAAGTTTGAAGTCACTAAGGCAAAGGAAATCAATAAGTGCAAGATGTTTACTTTTCTATGCTTTCGAACATCTTGTTAGAAGAAATCAACCGGAGATTTTCAATGGTCTGGTCTGGACTTGAGAAATATCACCCAAGAAAGAAAGAGTACTTTTGACCAATTTCAGAAAGCTCTCTAACGGGTGTTTTTGGCGAACCTCTGAATGAACACATATCGAAATTGAAATGCTTTCCAAACCCCTTATATAACACACAATTTAGGAATACAAACGATTGCTTACTGCTTGTAGTTTGTTACGAGGAGCGAGCTTGTCAACTTTTGAAATTTTCGATGTAGCGAGTGGTCAAAAAGGGCCTTTTGCGGCTTTGATTATTGAGAGCTCTCAAAATTTTTTAAACGTATTTCCTGGAACCAATGTGATGTTATTTACGTACTACCAAAGATAGTTCAACGAGCGAAGTTTGAGGCAGAAATTTTTTCCGATGTGAAACGCCTTGGACCGCTCTTACAGAGATCGCCACTTACGTATTGCTATGGAGTGAATGGTGTGAGGATACATCGATGTTTCGATTTTGTCTCCAAGTCTTCGACTCATGGTGCGAGCATGAAAGGGTGAATAAGAATCTTACTATACGTTTTTACTTGCTTATAGCAAAAGGAGGCAGAAACAACTTGTGTGAAGAGGCTTTGTTCCTTTACAAATATATATTTACTAATCCACCGATACGCAGCAATCCTCGAGGAGCTGCCTTCATGGAAACCTGACATGTTTTTGATAAGCCGATTTGCCGTTAACGCGTGTTAGTGATAGCTTTTATTCTTACTTCTTCCTCTAAGAATGCAGAATATAACCTTTAGATTGTATTTGGGTCGACAGAAAGTACCCTGCAATTTACTGAAATTCGCAGGAAACCGTGACCGGAGCGAGATTTTCCTGTAGATTGAAGTATAATTACCTCGCTTCATACGCAACAGCGCGACCGAAGCCACATGCTTTGCTTTTGCATGATAAAGTGGGGACCAATAGCAATCTGATACATATCAGGCTGGAATTGCGTAAACTGTGGACACAGTGATATAGCCCATTTTAACCATGACGAAGCTCGTTTGATGATAAAGGAATAAGAAAGCTTTATTTGTTGGGTT